ATCAGATTAAAAATAACCTCCTGCCCAGGTGCCGCGGCTGCTGCACGTTCTCGGTGCAGGCTGAGCTGCTGTTCCCGAGCTGCTCTGTGGGGGAAAAAATCCATCCTGGGGTTATGGAGAGATGATAAAAGTGCAGCCAGAGCAGCTGCTGTTCCCCTGGGGTGAGGGCTGAGGGGCTGGAGCTGGGAGAGCAATTCAGAACCACGTTTGGTTTTGTGTCTGGGTGAAGGAGAACACAGCGTGAATTCCCCACAAAGGATACAAAGAACAGAAGAGCATTTCTCCTCCCAGCAAAGTCAGGGCACTTGGGCAATAGCTGATTTTTTTGCAGTGGTGGAACCCTCACCCTGCTCCCACCATGGTCTCCCTCACCTCAGCTCCTCTTTGGCACTCCCTGTGCTGGGTCAGACAATCCCCCACTCCCACCCTGCCCGGCTCAGAGGGGTTCCCAGTCCACGGGTGTGTCCCAGTGTTTTAAAGTCACAGAATCATAGAATGGATGAATGAATAGTGTGGAAGACGATAAACTCCTCCAGAGCTCATAAAAGTGGGTGAGTAGGGAAGAGAAACATCCTGTTACTACCAAGCCAGTGCATGAGCCTTGTTAGACTCCGACCAGCCGTGCTCAAGACCCTCAGGATGTGAGTCAGTAGAAAACCAGGCTTGGTTACTACAGAGTGAGGCCTCTCTGGGGCCACCAGCCCCTGTCAGGTGTCGGTGTGTGGCTCCTGTCCCTGTGCAGAGGGTCCCCGGGGTGTGGTGGACGGGCTGTTCCTTGAGTGAGCAGAAGCAAAGCTGCATTCCACACACGCTTACCTAATGCCGGCTGGACACGCGTGTGTCAGCTCCAGGGTGGGGCCTGGGCCTTGCACTGCTAATCTTGATGCTTCAGACATTGGCTCCAGAAGGAGCTGTCAGAGCAGGTTTGGAGTTGGGAGATGTCCCTGTAACCCCTTTGGCAGCAGCTGCCCTGCCCTTGCCGATGCATCAGCTGTTACTCATGTTTCCCCAGGAACCACATGCCCTGGTGGCAACTCCTCCAGGGCTGTTTGCTCTTCCCCACAAGCTCTGGGCATCCCATTTTCCTTTATCTTTGTCGCCACACCCTCTCCTGCGAGACTTAGTCAGGATGTTGGGCCAGGGGCTGTGTGGACCCTGGCCCTGCATCTCCACATCAGGTTGGCAGAGACCAGCACCTGCACTGGGCTAGTGGAAGGTGCCCCTGCCCATGGCAGGGGGTTGGAATGAGATGAGCTCTAAGGTCACTCTTCCACTCCAAACCATTCTGGGATCCTGTGATTCTCAGCACTGCCTTGTCCCTCATCAGCCAGGCCAGTAGGAGCTGGGGCTTGTGCTGATCCCTTCTGGATGTTTCTCCAGGTCTGTGGAGTTACAACAGTGAAGCTGTTGAGGTGTCTCCATCATGAGACAGAACTGCCTTAGCAATAAATGGGATCCTCTGGTTTGACCAGCTGAGTTGAAGCCTGGGGAGATGTTGGCCTCACACCCTGCTTGCAGGAATTGCTGGGGTATTGAGGGTATGGCAGACCCCAGACCTAAGGAAGGAGAAGGTAACACAGAGAGGTCAGAGATTTGAGGGGGAGTAGGAGAGATGTGGTGGTGAGAGAGGTGATCAGCGTGGCCCAAAACAAGAGGAAAAATGGCAAAGCATTGTCTGGAGAGCCGGGAGGGGAGAGGGGGAGGCAGAACCGGCAGCGTGTGATTAACTTGGCTGTGCTGACCAGAGCTGCCCACCCGCTGATCCTTTCTAACAGCCTGTGATCCCAGAGGAGCCCCTGGAGCCGAGCCGGGCAGTTGCACAATCACAGATGGGGAGCCGAGGCTGCAGCAGCCGCGGGGGGGGCTCTGCCAGACAAGCCCCGTGCCGGGGGGACACGGGGGGACACCCTATGCTGGGCCCTCCGGGTGTCTGCGGGGGGGAGCACAGCCTGTCCCTGCACAGCCAGTGGACTGGTTATTCCAGCCAGCCCGCGTGGCAGCTGGAGACTCTCAACCCCCCTTTCTGGGGCAATTTCTCAGCTCTACACCCTGTTCTTCCTCTCCTGCTCATCCTTCTCCTGATGGCTCAGGAAAGGGGCATCAACCCTCTGCTTACCCCTCATTCCCAGCCCTGGGGGCCTGTTCCTCAGCTGCCCATTGCTGTCCCCCCCCAACACAGCCACGGGGCTGGACGAGGTGGGCTCTGACCTTGCCTGGGGAGTTCCTGTGCTGCAAAACTGCTCTCAGCAGTTGCATCTTGTTGCCTTCATTTCTAACGCAGCTGCATTCCAGGGATGGGGGAGGACCCGTGTGAAAACAGGGGCTTGCTGTGGGATTATTGTTATGGACTGGGAGAAAAGGGACAGGAGGTAGAAGAGAGAACCCGTAACTGAGGGCTCAGGGAATGGCTGGAGTTTGGAGCAGTAGAGGCTTGGATGAAGAATGTTAATCCAGGGATTAGGATCCAGGCACAGGGTCTGTCCCAGGGAGGGGACCCCGTGCGTTCACTGGCACCAGCCACAGTGCTGCCTCTCCATCCAGGCCGATATGTGAGATGGGTGTGTTCTGCATGGCTCCAAAACTCTAATAAATACATTTCCTCCCCAATCTTGAAGCTGTTGGGTGTTCCTTGCTTTTGGGAGGTGCTTTAAATGTGACTGCCAGAGCCGTGGGCTGCTAAGAGCAGAAGCCGACGCTGCACGATGCTGAGCTCGGGTCTTCCTCCCCTTTTCCTGGTGCTCACAGTGCTGGAGCTCAGCTGGTCCCTGAGTGATGAGGAAAAGAAGATAATCCTGGATGAGCACAACAGGTACCGCTCCCAGGTGTCTCCTCCTGCCAGGGCTATGATGAAGATGGTAAGTGGCTTTTATTGCAGAGGAATCTCAGGGTGTTTGTGTGGTG